CCCCAGGCAATCCAGGGCTCAGAATCCTAGGAATCCGAGTGAATTCACAAGGGTCGAGACGTCGGTGATGAGCAACAGGGCTCAGAATCCCATGAACCCCGATGAAAGCATAGGGTTCGCGACGCCGGTGGTTCGCGAACCTTGTGATTTCATTGGGACTCCTGGGATTCCTGGGGCGCTAATCAACGGAACCTTGTGACTTCAGTGCGATTCTTGGGATTCCTAGGATTCCATACCTTGGAGCAAAACCAACCTTTGGATCCCCAGGAGGTCCAGGGCTCAGAATCCCACGAATTCCAATGCAATCGCAAGGTTCGAGACGTCGGTGATGCGCGAAACCCGCGATTTTTATAGGATTCCTGGGATTCCTCAAATGCAAAAAACCTGGTGATTTCATTTGGGATTCGAGGGGTTCTTGGGATCTTTTGCCTCGGCCTTCTGTGGCCCCAGGGCTCGTGCTGTGTGTTGCGCTCCCGGGTCTGAAGTCCAAGGGATCCAAACGAACTCATAAGGAATCCTAGGAATCCAAACGAATCCAAGGAATCCCAGGAATCCAAACGAATCCATAATGAATCCTAGGAATCCGAGGAATCCTGAAATCCAAGGAATCCAAACGAATTCATAAGGAATCCTAGGAATAAGGAATCCTAGGAATCCAAGGAATCCAAACGAATCCAAGGTTTCGTTGATCTGAATCCCAAGAATCCTAGGAATCCCCGTGCAATCACAGGATTTGCGCATCACCGACGGCTTCCTTGGGTTTTGAGCCCTGGACCTCCTGGGGATCCTAAGGTTGGTTTTGCTCCATTGCTTGAAATCCCAGGAGTTCCAGGAACCCGAGTTACATCGCAAGGTTTCGTTGATTTGCACCCCAGGAACCCCAGGAACCCTAATGAAAGCACACAGGTTTGCGCATCACCGACGTCTCCAACCTTTTGATTGCATTGGGGCTCCTGGGGTTCCTCGGATTTCACACTCTGGAGCGAAAACAAAGCACGAGTTCTGGGGTCACAGAAGGTCGAGGCTGAAAATCACAGGAATCCGTATGAAATCGCAAGGTTTCGTTTCGTCGACTTGCATCCCAGGAATCCCAGTGAAATCACAGGGTTTGCGCATCACCGACGTCGCGAACCTTACGATTTCATAGGGATTCCTGGGATTCTGAGCCCTGGACCCTCTGGGGATCTTAAGGTTGGTTTTGCACCAGGGCTTCAAATCCAAGGCAGTCCAGGAATCCCACTGACATCAAAAGGTTTTGTTGGTTAGCATCCCAGAAATCTCAGGGATCCCGGTGAAATCGCAGGGTTTGCGCATCACCGACGTCGCGAACCCTGCGATCTCATTTGGATTCCTGGGGTTCTGAACCTTGAACCTCCTGGGGATCCCAAGGTTGGTTTTGCTCCAGGGTATGAAATCCCAGGAACCTTGGGAAGCCCAATGAACTCGCAGGTCTCCGTCGATTTGCATCCCAGGAATCCCATGAATCCACATGAAATCGTAGGGCTCGCGCATTACCGACGTCTCGAACCTTGTGATTTCAATGGGATTCCCGGGATTCTGAGCCCTGGACCTCCTGGGGGTCCCAAGGTTGGTTTTGCTCCAGGGTATGAAATCAAAGGAATCCCAGGAATCCCAGTGAAACCATTAGGTTTCGATGATTAGCGCCCCACAAATCCCAGGAGTCTCAATGAAATCGCAGGGTTCGCGCACCACCGACGTCGCGAACACTGTGGTTTCTTCGAGGTTCTTGGAATTCTGAGCCCTGGACTTCCTGGGGATCCCAAGGTTGGCTTTGCTCCAGAGTACGGAATCACAGGGATCCCAGGAAGCCCAGGAGCCCCACCGAAATCACAGGACTTCGTTGATTTGCATTTCAGATATCCCAGGCATCCAAGTGAAATCGCAAGGTTGGCTGATTTCTCGTCGATGTGCCCACGCTCACACGCTAGTTTACCGCTTATGTAGAGGAAGCAGGCGCTTGCATCTGTCACGTTAGCGCCTGTGGAAAAGGTGTCGCTAGCGGATGCGGGGGAAGGCTTCAGAGAAGAAGAAGACGAATACAAGGCGCGGAGAGGGACGGGATACAGGAGGGGAGCGGCACGACTCCAGCCTCGTAGGAAGGAAGAATGCGTAACATGGGTGTTGGGGGGCTGATATACACATATGTATATATGTATATGTATTTGTGTGTATATATGTTTGTGTATATGTATATATGCACATAAATGTACATATATATATAGATGTATGCGTGCATGTATATGTACATGTATATGTATATGTATGTGTATATGTATATGTATGTGTTCAGGTATATGTACATGTTTATGCATGTGTAGGTGTACATATACGTTTATGGTCATTTGTAGTTGTATACGTATGTGTATGTGTATGTGTATGTGTATGTGTATAGATATGTATACACGTGTATGCATGCATGTATGTATATGGGTATGGTTATGTTCACGTATGTGTACATGTATATGGTTTGCGTATGCATTTACATATATGTATATGTACATGAATATGTATACGTCTATGTATACGTCTATGTACATGCATATGTGCATGCGTATACATATGTTTATGTATATGTATATATGTATGTGTAGATATATGCATATATTGATGTGCATGTGTGTATGTATATATCGTTATGTATTTGTATGTATACACGTATGAATATATACACAGATATATGTGTATTTGTTTTCGTTGGTTTACATGTGTATTTACCGAAGACGACTGTGGCGAATCACCGCCGCCCCCTGCCTTTTGGAATCGTCCATGCGGCTGGACTTTGTGGCCAGGGCTCTGCCAAGGTATCGTCGGACCATTTGTTCCTCTGGCCGTTGTGGGAAAAAGAAGCGGCGGAGAGGGGGGAAACATAGGGAGGAGGAGGAGGCGGAGGAGGAGGAGAAGGGGAGGAGGAGGAGGATGAGGAGGAGGAAGAGGATTAGAGTAGAAGGGAGAATGAGGAGGAAGAGAAGTCGGAGGTTGAGGAGAAGGAGGAGGAGGAGGAGGAGGAGGAGGAGGAGGAGAGACTTTGGAGACCATTTGGGAACTTCTTGTGGGCCTCCTCGAGACCTTTTGGAGGCCTCCTTGGGCCTCCTGGGGAACTTTTGGGGCGTCTTGGGGTCCTCTTTGGTCGTCTTAGGGCGTTCTTTGCCCGTCTGACGACGTCGGCAGCCGTCTTGGGGTCTCTCTAAACCGACTTAGGGCCCTCTTGGGGTGCTTCAGGGCCGTCTTGGAAGCTATCATGGGCGTCTTGGAGGCCTCTTGGGCCGTCTTGAGGCCCTCTTGGGGCCGTCTTGGAGGGTTTTTTGGCCGTCACGGGGTCATCTTGGAGGCCTTTGGGGCTATCTTTGGGCGATCTTGGGGCCCCCTTGGGTCGTCATGGGCCTTGGGAAGGCCGAAGAGAAGGACATTCTGAAATCTTTCAAAAACCGAAGGAACATCAACGATGTTGGCCTCTTCTGGCCCTCAGGGAGGACTCTTTGGATACCTCTTGAGCCGTCTTGCAAGCCTCTTGGGCTGTCTTGGGCCGTCTTGAAGGCTTCGTGGGCGGACTTGGGGGCATCTTGGATTGTCTTGGGCGAACTTTGAGGCCATCCTGGCCGTCTTTGAGGCCGTCTTGAGCCACCTTGGATCCACCTGGAACAGACAACTCCTTGCCAACCACCTCCGGGCAAGCATTCCGTCCGGGTGGCCAGCGCGCTGGGCCGAAGCCCTTGCAGGGGGAGATTCTGACACAACCAAAAGCCATCAAACATTTAGCACGCTGGGCACCCCTGAGGCAAGCCAAGAGTGGGCGGCGGATCTAGTGGCCTTCGGCCCATCCAGCCGTTGCGCCTGGGTTATGGGCCAGAGGCATTTGGGATGACTCTGGGGATCTCTAGGGAGGTCTTTTAGAAGCCTTTAGGATTCGGTTTTGGGTTATCTTGGGGCCTCTTGGGGATCTCTTGGGAGCCTGATCTGGGCCGTATTTGGGCCTTTGGGGGGCCTTTTGGAGCGGCCTCTTGGGGGCCTGCTCTGCTAGCAGTCTCGGGGGCCGTCTTGGGGCGAAAGGCTCGACATGTCAGTGCGTGTTCTCCCTGTGGGGCAGCTCTGGAGCCCCTCTTGGAGCTCTGTTGTGCCGTCTTCGGGGGGCTCTTGGACTGTCTTGGGGCAGTCTCAAGCAGTCCGGGGGCGTTCTTGGGGGCCCCTTGGGCTGTCCTGGGGGTCGATCTTGGGCGCTTTCTGGGGCCGTCTTGGAGCGTCGACAGCCAGAACAGGCGCGAACGTTAAGAACACTTCTCGAGAACACACTCGGAGAAACCAGTGATTTGGGCACCTCGGGGCTCTCTCTTAGGGAGCCTCCAGGATCTCTCCTGGGGGCGTCCTTGGGGGTCCTCTGTTGGGCCGTCTGCTGGCCCTCTTCTGGCGGCCTGGAGCGCCGTCGGGGGCCGCCTTCGGGGCGTCCTGCGCGCCGTGGGGGGGGGCCTCTCGGGGGGCCCTCCTTGGCCCGTCCTATGGGGCCTCCCGGCTTCTGTGCAGTTTTTTTTATCGGGGGAAGCCCCAAAAAGGCGCGGGAGCGCCAAGAGGAAGGGGGCCTCTCGGGGGCCCTCCTGGCCCGTCCTATGGGGCCTCCCAGCTTCTGTAGAATGTTTGTATCGGGGGGAGCCCCAGAGAGCGCGGGAGCGCCAAGAGGAAGCGGCCACGTGGGCTCCCGGGCCCCCACTCGAGTATACTTCGTGACTGCATACACGGAAGGCCCATCCCGCCGCCGTGCCCGGGCGTTGGTCCTTAGCTCCAGCGCGCCTGGAGTGCGCAGACGCAGTCGCCATGCTCGTGTGCCTGCGCGTGCGCGCAGGCGTATACGTACCCACACAGTGGATCTGTTGCGTGTCGATCCTTCGAGCCATTCTTGACATATGATTGCTGACTCGTTTTGGCGTTTGGGTGCACTTGGGTGCGAAACGCCAGGCTCAGAGGAAGAAATCATTCATTTTTGCTCGCAGGCGTACCTGGGTGAGTATTCCCCCGCTGTCGACATCTACTGCGCCGGCGTCATCATGTACAAGCTGCTCACTCGAAGGCTTCCTGGAGTGTCCCACTTCCCCCTCCTCCCCTTCCCCTGGGCAGAAGGAGGAGTGGGGAGGTAGAGGAGGAGGCACACGAGGGCAACACGCTGACGAGGATGGGGTCGCCCCCGCCGCGGCGAGGGAGGGGAAGGACGAGGAGGAAGAGGAGCTCCCCCCGCCGCGGCCCTTTTCCTTTTCTCCTCCCGTGGGTGCCTGTTTTGTTAATCTTCTTATCATGACTACGGTACGGTAGGGGCTTCCGTTCAGGAACGTGTGCAGGAGGCCTCAGACCCTGGAGCATTCCTCAATTGATCAGGGCGGCGGTGATACCCACTGCCAGGCCTCAAATGGCGTTTCACTGGCTCCAGGCTCCGAGACTCCCAGTCCGATCTGATGCGATCCGAACCGTTCCTCCTCGTCCTCGTCCTCCTCGCCCTCCTCGTCCTCCTCCTCCTCCTCCTCCTCCTCCTCCTACCTCCTCCCTTCCTCCTCCTCCTCCTCCTCCTCCTCCTCCTCCTCCTCCTCCTCCTCCTCCTCCCTTCTCCTCCTCCTCCCTCCTCCTCCTCCTCCTCCTCCTCCTCCTCCCTTCTCCTCCTCCTCCTCCTCCTCCTCCTCCTCCTCCTCGTCCTCCTCCTCCTCCTCCTCCTCCCTTGATTCCTATAAGCTATAATTCCTAATTCAGCGCCCTCGCTGCGTTTCCCAGTTGGAGCGGTTACGTCAGTCGGGGCTTCACGTGACGCGGGTCATTGCCAAAGGGGGTCAGCCGGAGCGTCGGATCCTCCTCCTCCTCCTCCTCTTTTGCCTCCCGCCCCCCTCCCCTCCCCCAGATTGTGCTGTCTGTCGCCTTCTCGCTGTCGGCTGGGCGTCGGCGCTAAACACCGGCGCCGTCGCCGTTGATTTTCAATCTGGCGGGCGCCACCCCGCGATTTGCCCGAGCAGTTTTTTTGGTTCATATATATATATATATATATATACTCATTCCCTACCTAGGCTCTGCCTAGAAGGGTTCTTACTCTCTTAGCTTAAAGGGGCGGGCAGTGCACAGCGCCCCGGGCGGTTCCCCCAGTCCCCGCCCCGCGGTTCCCCCAGTCGCGCCCCCTGGGTTCACCCAGCTTAGCTTAGCTAAGCTTAGCTAAGCTTAGCTAAGCTTAGCTTAGCTTGGCTTAGCTTAGCCTATCTCATCTTAGCTTAGCTTAGCTTTGCTTAGCCTAACCTAGCTTAACTTTGCTTAGCTTAGCTTAGCTTAGCTTAGCTTAACTTAGCTTAGCCTAGCTTAGCTTAGCTTAGCTTAGCTTATCTCATCTTAACTTAGCTTAGCTTAGCCTGGCTTGGCTTAGCCTGGCTTAGCTTAACTTAGCGTAGCTTAGCTTAGCCTAACCTAACCTAGCTTAGCTTAGCTTAGCTTCGCTTAAGTTAGCTTAGCTTAGCTTACCTTAGCTTAGCTTAGCTTAGCCTAGTGCATCATAGCGCAGCGCAGCATGAGCACATCATAACATCGCATAGCATAGCCAATCATCGCACAGCATATCTTAGCTCAGCAAAGCATAGCATAGCATAGCGCAGCGTAACTTACCATAGCATAGCATCTCATTGCCTAGCATAGCACAGCACAGCATATCATAGCACATCACATCATACCATAGCATATCATAACATAGCATCGCGTCGCGCAGTATAGCATAGCATATCATATAATATCATAACATAGCGCAGTATCGCATCTCATATCACAGTATCGTTTAGCATATCATAACATAACGCAGCACAGCATAGCGTAGCATAGCAAAGCGCAGCACGGCATCCACTATTGCTGCTTTCCTAGAGGTTCCAATTCCTAGGTAGGGTCGCACTGGGATACTTCTTTTTTAAAAGCACATAATTTGTGAATCGCAAGCTGACCTTCGATTGGGTCCGAGGATCGCGCCGCATCGCCGATGCAGCGCAACTGCGGTTCGATGCGGAGCCCGATTTTCTCCGCGCCGGCGTCGCGGATGCGTCGCCGACTTCGCCGATTAATCGCCGATGCATCGGCGATGTATTGGCGATGCGGCGAGATCATTCGACCCCATCCATTCGGACCCCATCTACAACGCCTCTCTTTTAGTTCCCTGGTTCGCCTTCCTGGGAGGCCCGCGTCGCCACAGTTGGCTTCGCCCCGAAGTTCTCGTCGGAACGCACCAAAGTTGAGGTCGGGGGGGTAGCAGTATCGGTACCCGTTGATTGCCCCAGTGACGGCAGGAGTGTTGTCGTTTTGCACATGCAAAGCACTTCGTCGTGCGTTCCCGGCACCCTCGCAAGGGTTGCGTGTGCTGAGTGCGGCCTCCACCCCCTGCGCGCCTCCCCCGCGCGCCTCCCCCCTTGGGACCCCCCCCTCCCTGAGCTCTCGGCCGGGAATAGACACTCGTCCCTCCTCCTCCTCCTTCCCCTCCCTTCTCCTCCCCTCCTCCTCCTCCCCTCCTCCTCCCTCCTCCTCCTCCTCCTCTCCTCCTCCTCCTCCTCCCTCTCCTTCTCCTCCTCCTCCCCCTCCTGCTCCTCTCCTCCTCCTCCTCCTCCTCTCCTCCTCCTCCTCCTCCTCCTCCTCCTCCTCCTCCTCCTCCTCCTCCTCCTCCTCCTCCTCCTCCCCCCTCCTCCCCCTCCTCCTCTTCCTCCTCCTCCTCCTCCTCCTCCTGCTCTTACTCCTCCTCCTCATCCTCATCCTCCCCCTTCAGAATGGGCGGCGAGCGAGGGGGGAAATGAGGAGGAGCAGGTCTTTTTCAGAAAGCGGCGGGACTTCTCAGACGCCCTCTCGCCTTCTGAGATGTTTTTGCTGTCTTCGGGGAAGTCTCAGAGAACTTGCCAGAAAGCTGGGGGACTTCCGAACCTTCCGAAAAGCCTTCTCACTTCCCCCCCGCTCGCCGCCGACAGAAACCTGTCTTCGTCGTCCTGCTCAGCCGCCGCGGGGGAATCACTATTGTAATGGCCTGCGGCCAGTGCCGCCGATGCGGGGGGCTCCGGTTTCGGTGATCTTGGAGTCGTCGGGGGCGCTGTTTGGAAGGGAGGGCGCTCTTAGAGTCGTCGGGGACGCTTTTTGGAGCTGACGTGCTCTCTGGGGGGGTGCCTGGAGCGGTCTTGGGGCGGGTCCAGGGAGGGTTCCGAGGGGAGGGTCCTGGGGGCGGTAGCGGCTAGATCTGAGCGGGGTCCTTGGGACTCCCCGAAACATCTTGGGGATGCGCAAACCATTAAGAAAACGCCAGATGGGGGACCGCCCCCCCCCCCCCCCTTCCCCGGGGCGGGAGTCCGGGGAGGGTTCCGAGGGGAGAGTCCTGGGGGGGGTCCCTGGTACCCCCCGAAACAGCTTGGGGATGCGCAAACCATTATAAGAAAACGCCATCCCCGGCAGAGCCACCCCGGCGACCCCCCCGAAGCAGAGCTGAAGCTCTTGCTTAGGCTCAGAGCTGAAGCTCTTGCTGAGGCTCCTTGTAGTTCACACGCGGGATCGGTGGATTTTCGGAGTTTTGCTCGAGCCCCAGTCCGTCCATAATCCTTCGGCTTAGACTTAATTCAGGAGGGAAAAACACACAGACACAATTGATCGTCGATCCCCCAGAAAATATTGGAAAATATGGGAAGTGGTGGGGAAGACAAAAACCCAGAAAATATCGGAAACTATGGGACATCTTTTTATTTGTGTGTTTTTCTTTTTTCCCAACCATCCTGTGGTGTTGGGTCCTCGTTTTGAAGAGACGTCGCCCCGCGTTCCTCCTTCCTCCTCCTTCCTCCTCCTCCCCTTCCTCCCCCCTCCTCCCCCTCCCACACCCATTCTGGCACACCCCTCACACGTTTCGTGGCCCCATAGGGAGCTCCACCGAAGGCCCCAGTGGCTGCGCCCGCATGCGGTTCCACCCCCCATTCTGGCACACCCCTCACACGTTTCGTGGCCCCATAGGGAGCTCCACCGAAGGCCCCAGTGGCTGCGCCCGCATGCGGTTCCACCCCCCATTCTGGCACACCCCTCACACGTTTCGTGGCCCCATAGGGAGCTCCACCGAAGGCCCCAGTGGCTGCGCCCGCATGCGGTTCCACCCCCCATTCTGGCACACCCCTCACACGTTTCGTGGCCCCATAGGGAGCTCCACCGAAGGCCCCAGTGGCTGCGCCCGCATGCGGTTCCACCCCCCATTCTGGCACACCCCTCACACGTTTCGTGGCCCCATAGGGAGCTCCACCGAAGGCCCCAGTGGCTGCGCCCGCATGCGGTTCCACCCCCCATTCTGGCACACCCCTCACACGTTTCGTGGCCCCATAGGGAGCTCCACCGAAGGCCCCAGTGGCTGCGCCCGCATGCGGTTCCACCCCCCATTCTGGCACACCCCTCACACGTTTCGTGGCCCCATAGGGAGCTCCACCGAAGGCCCCAGTGGCTGCGCCCGCATGCGGTTCCACCCCCCATTCTGGCACACCCCTCACACGTTTCGTGGCCCCATAGGGAGCTCCACCGAAGGCCCCAGTGGCTGCGCCCGCATGCGGTTCCACCCCCCATTCTGGCACACCCCTCACACGTTTCGTGGCCCCATAGGGAGCTCCACCGAAGGCCCCAGTGGCTGCGCCCGCATGCGGTTCCACCCCCCATTCTGGCACACCCCTCACACGTTTCGTGGCCCCATAGGGAGCTCCACCGAAGGCCCCAGTGGCTGCGCCCGCATGCGGTGGCCATAGGGAGCTCCACCGAAGGCCCCAGTGGCTGCGCCCGCATGCGGTTCCACCCCCCATTCTGGCACACCCCTCACACGTTTCGTGGCCCCATAGGGAGCTCCACCGAAGGCCCCAGTGGCTGCGCCCGCATGCGGTTCCACCCCCCATTCTGGCACACCCCTCACACGTTTCGTGCCCCATAGGGAACCCCACCGAAGGCCCCAGTGGCTGCGCCAGCATGTGGTTCCACACCCCATTCTGGTACACCCCTCACACGGTTCGTGGCCCCATAGGGAGCTCCACCGAACGCTCCAGTGGCTGCGCTCGCATGCGGTTCCACCCCCCATTTCGGCACACCCCTCACACGCTTCGTGGGTGGCTCCATGGGGAGCTCCACCGAACGCCCCAGTGGCTGCGCTCGCATGTGGTTCCCCCCCCATTTCGGCACACCCCTCACACGGTTCGTGGCCCCATAGAGAGCTCCACCGAAGGCCCCAGTGGCTGCGCTCGCATGCGGTTCCACCCCCTTTTTCGGCACGCCCTTCACACGTCTCGTGGCCCCATAGGGAGCTCCACCGAACGCCGCAGTGGCTGCGCTCGCATGCGGTTCCACCCCCCATTTCGGCACACCCCTCACACGTTTCGTGGCTCCATAGGGAGCTCCACCGAAGGCCCCAGTGGCTGCGCTGGCATGCGGTTCCACACCCCATTCTGGCACACCCCTCGCACGTTTCGTGGCCCCATAGGGGGCTCCACCAAAGGTCCCAGTGGCACTGCCCGCTTGCGTCCGCCACCACCCAGCACAGCCCTTGTTCCCTGCGCTTCACCCACCCAGAACAGCGCTTCGTAGCCCTATAGGGAGCTCCACCAAAGGTCCCAGCGGCACCGCCCGCATGCGTCCGCCACCACCCTGCGCAGCCCTTGCTCCCTGCCTGCGTTTCATCCACCCAGTACAGCGTTTCGTGGCCCCATAGGGAGCTCCACCGAAGGTCCCAGTGGCACCGCTCGCATGCGTCCGCCACCACGCAGCACAGCCCTTGCTGACCGCGTCTCGCCCACCCAGTACAGCGTTTCGTGGCCCCATAGGGGGCTCCACCGAAGGTCCCAGTGGCGCCGCCCGCACGCCCGCATGCGTCCGCCACCACCCAGCACAATTGCGGCATTCACAACTGCATATGGTTGGGTCCTTCGCCAGGCTAATTTTTTATATGTGTGTGTGTGTGTGTGTGTGTCCCAGGGCCCCTTCATTAATTCGTTTCCCATGCCTGCTCTGGTGGTCTTGCAGAGACCCTTGACGGTCGCTAGCCCGGGCCAGCCACCCCCGCTGGGTAGAGAGGCATAGCGCGCTGGGGCAGAGGGCCGGGCCCACCCCCCACCCCGGACCCCCGACGTCACGATTTTTTCAGTGCGTCGACCCCCAGAGGTCCCGACCCCAGACCCCCTCGAGTCATGAGAAAATCACGACGGGAGGTTTTTCATTCTTTTCGGCCTCTGGGGGCCCTTACCGGGCCTCGGGACCGTCCAAAAACGATTGAGGATGAAAAACCGGTCCCGGCGAACAGGTCCGGACCTCTGGGGGTCGCGCCATGAAAAAGTCACGACGTCGGAGGTCTGGGACCCTTTCCCCATGACCGGCTTTGCATCCTGAGTCGTTTTTTGACGCTCCCGAGGCCCGGTAGGGGCCCCCAGAGGCGCCCGACGACGGCCCAGGAGGGCCCAAAGATTGGGCAGGGCCCACGGGGGGGACCGCGAGCCGAACATCCGCGCCCCCCCGCCCCAAGAGGCCCCAGGAGGCCGCCAGGAGGCTCCGAGGGGTCCCCCCCCCCGACGTGCCCCCCGCCCCGCCCAGCGTGACGACCACTTGGGAAGCCTGCAGAACATCTCCGAGCATTCTCGCCCGGCTCGTCGTGCTCTTCTGCGCGCGGTGGCGCTGCCTTCTGCTTGCAGGCCCAGTGCTTCCGCGGCCCCGCAGCCTCCTCAGCAGCAGATTCCCTTTACCAGCCTGGAGCATATCCCTATCCCTATGCTGGGCACCTCCTCATCACGATGCCAATCTTAGGGATTCCCTTCTTTTTTGAGGGCGGATCCCTAAGATCGTCATCGCCTTCTGGCGTGCCAATCTTAGGGATAGGGAGACGTTCGAGGCTGGTAATCCCTCCCTGCCTCCCCCCCCTCCCGGCGTCGTCCTCTCACTCTCCTCGCCCAGAGGTGGCCGTCGCCGAGCGACTTCTTCGACGACGAGCCGGGCCAGAACTGGGTGGGCAGTCCCGCCCCGGGCTCGGGTGCTGCCCTCGCGGGCGCCCGCCGCCGATCCTTCGGCCCAGGGTGGAGTACGTCGAGGCTCGAGGACTTGGCCGAGGCTCGAGGCTCGAGGGCGCCCGAGGCTCTGAGAGGCACGAGGTTCGAGGTTCGAGGACGCCCGAGGGTCGAGGCTCGAGGTCTCGGTCGAGGCTCGAGGGCGCCCGAGGCTCGAGGCTCGATCGCTCCGTCGATCGCTCCATCTTTTGGAGGATCGATCGATCGATCCACCGAGCGATGCCTCCATGGGCGCTGCCCGGCGCCTCCCATGGGCCCCTTGGAGGACCTCGGGGAGATCCCCGGGGGCCACCAGGGGGGACGGCGGCGCGTGCCGCCTCAGGAGCCTGTTTTGTTTTTGGATTCAGGCAAGTTTACTTGCATGGCGTTCGCCCCCCCCCCCCCCCCCTCCTCGCCCCTCTTCAAGCGAATACTAGCGTGCAAGTGCCTTTCGACTTGCGTGATTTCCGCGCCCCCCCGAACGTGCAAGTCGTTTGCGGCTTGCTTCAGGCTCAGCCCCCCCCCGTCCATGCAAGTAAATTTGCCAGAGTCTAAAAATTATCCCAGTGCGACCCTACCTAGGAGTTGGAGCCCCTAGGAAAGCAGCATTAGTAGTAACAGTAAAGCTAAGCTAAAGCTAAGCTAAAGCTAAGCTAAAGCTAAGCTAAAGCTAGGCTGAAGCTAAGCTAAAGCTAAGCTAAAGCTAAGCTAAGGCTAAGCTAACACTAAGCTAAATCTAAGCTAAAGCTAAGCTGAAGCTAAGCTAAAGCTAAGCTAAAGCTAAAGCTAAAGATAAGCTAAAGCTAAGCTACAGCTAAGCTAAATCTAAGCTAAAGCTAAGCTAAATCTAAGCTGAATCTAAACTGAAGCTAAGCGAAAGCTAAGCTAAGGGTAAGCTAAACTTTAAGCTAAAGCTAAGCTAAAGCTAAGCTGAAGTTAAGCTAAAAGCTAAGCTAAAGCTAAACTAAAGCTAAGCTACAGCTAAGCTAAAGCTAAGCTACAGCTAAGCTAAAGCTGAGCTACAGCTAAGCTAAAGCTAAGCTGGAGCTAAGCTAAAGCTAAGTTAAAGCTAAGCTAAAGCTAAGCTAAAGCTAAGCTAAAGCTAAGCTAAGGCTAAGCTAACACTAAGCTAAAGCTAAGCTAAAGCTGAGCTGAAGCTAAGCTAAAGCTAAGCTAAAGCTAAGCTAACGCTAAGCTAACACTAAGCTGACGCTAAGCTAACGCTAAGCTAAAGCTAAGCTACCACTAAGCTAACACTAAGCTAATGCTAAGCTAAAACTAAGCTAAAGCTAAAGCTAAAGCTAAAGCTAAGGCTAAAGCTAAAGCTAAAGCTAAGCTAAAGCTAAGCTAAAGCTAAGCTAAAGCTAGGCTGAAGCTAAGCTAAAGCTAAGCTAAAGCTAAGCTAAGGCTAAGCTAACACTAAGCTAAATCTAAGCTAAAGCTGAGCTGAAGCTAAGCTAAAGCTAAGCTAAAGCTAAGCTAACGCTAAGCTAACACTAAGCTGACGCTAAGCTAAAGCTAAAGCTAACGATAAGCTAAATCTAAGCTACAGCTAAGCTAAATCTAAGCTAAAGCTAAGCTAAAGCTAAGCTGAATCTAAGCTGAAGCTAAGCGAAAGCTGAGCTAAGGGTAAGGTAAAATTTAAGCTAAAGCTAAGCTAAAGCTAAGCTGAAGTTAAGCTAAAAGCTAAGCTAAAGCTAAAGCTAAAGCTAAGCTACAGCTAAGCTAAAGCTAAGCTAAAGCTAAGCTAAAGCTAAGCTAAAGCTGAGCTACAGCTAAGCTAAAGCTAAGCTGGAGCTAAGCTAAAGCTAAGCTAAAGCTAAGCTAAAGCTAAGCTAAAGCTAAGCTAAAGCTAAGCTAAGGCTAAGCTAACACTAAGCTAAAGCTAAGCTAAAGCTGAGCTGAAGCTAAGCTAAAGCTAAACTAAAGCTAAGCTAAAGCTAAGCTAACACTAAGCTGACGCTAAGCTAACGCTAAGCTAAAGCTAAGCTACCACTAAGCTAACACTAAGCTAAAGCTAAGCTAAAGCTAAGCTAAAGCTAAAGCTAAAGCTAAAAAGCTAAAGCTAAAGCTAAGGCTAAAGCTCCCAGGGGACTGGGGGAACCGCGGGGCGGGGACTGGGGGAACCGCCCGGGGCGGTTAGCACTGCCCGGCCCTTTGAGCAAAGAGAGTAAGAACCCTTCTAGGCAGAGCCTAGGTAGGGAAAAACAGGCTCCAGGAGGGGCTCCCAGACGTGGGCGATCTCCGGCTCTCTCCCCGCGCCCTGGCATCGCTCGGGCGTGTGCACGTTTCCTTCGGCGAGGACCATCGAGGCGCATCCTGGATCATCTGGCGAAAAAAAACCACGCACGAAACCGGAAAAAACACAGGGAATGGACGTCCGAGCGATGGCCAGCCACGTCTTGTGGCCAGGTCTTCCGCTCGGCCGAGCGCGGCGTGGATCCCTCGGCCTCGTGGACAGTCGGCCCAGCCTTGGCAGGTCGACCCTGCCAGAGCAAGGGTACCCTCGTGCCCTGTGCCTCGCGAAACCCCTGCCTCCTGCATTCCTGTGGCAATTGTGGCCCTCGGAAGGGTCTCGTGTCCTCTCTCGCGTGTCCTCTCTGGTCAAGTCCGACTGTACAGTGCCGTTATTTATACATGCTCCGCGTGCGGATCATGTATTACAAATGCAGGGATTTAGTATGAAAAACAACGATGAGTCCATGCGTCAATTCATTCCTAAATTATTCATGTATGAAAATATTTTTATATTTTAAACACACATATATATCTATATATATATATATATATATGTTGAGAAATCCCATGTATTAACAACTGCCCTGTATAACGAAGACGCCGGAAGGAGGACCGCTCTCGCCGCAGCAGGGGCTCTGGCCTCCGGGCCGCCCCGTCGGCTCTGCGCCGCGGAAGTCGTGCGTGGCCGGGGCGCCTCGTGGCCAGGAGAGCACCTTTCGTCCCTCGCGAGGAGTTCCCTCGCGAGGAGCTTCCTCGCGAGGTGTTCCTCGCGAGGAGCTTCCTCGCGAGGAAGTTCCTCGCGAGGTGTTCCTCGCGAGGGAGCTCCTCGCGAGGTGTTGCTCACGTGGTGTTGTGTTCACGGTTGCGCGGTGGCTGTATGCCGAGCTTGGCTGCTCTGGTGCGCTCGTTTTGGAACGCAGCACGTGCCGTGTTCGACACGTCCGCGTTCAGAACGTGCGCGTTCGGTCTGCGCGTTGAGCCCCGTACCAGTACGCTACGCGTTGCGCGTTGCGTATCGGGGCAGGCAAGGTACCGAGGGTTCCAGGCGGCGCCTGCGCGCGCCCGGGCCGTTCCTGCCGTCGAGCCGCCCCGCCCGCCCCCGAGAGCACGCGCGGGACGAGGAATAGACTGCCGCTGGTCGCTGTGGTCGGCTTCCCTCGGCCGACAAGCCGGCTGCTGGGCGCGGGGCAGCAGCGTTGGCTGTGCCTGGGGGGACGCCTCCCCTGGCAAAAGAGGTGCACAAAACATACATGTTGGAATGGGAGGAGGAGGAGGAGGAGGAGGAGGAGGAGGAGGAGGAGGAGGAGGGGGAGGAGGAGAGGAAGGGGCCAGACTGTGTGCAGGCCTGGGCGGTTTTGATCGATGTTTTGAGCTCTGCGCTGGAGGCCTCTGGAGGCTTCCAGCGCAGAGCTCAAAACTTCTGGGATTGACATCGGCCCAGGGAGATTCGTCCGAAATGTTAGTGTTTTAGTATTTTATGTTCTTTTCAATCTGGTGGCGTCCAGGCTGCATCCAGGCTGGCGGGTGGCACTCAGGAGGAGGGGGGGGAGAAGGAGTAGAATCAGATGGCGGACGAGGCAGTTTTGATGCCTCCTGGGGGCCTTCTGGGGGCCTCACTGCGGCAAAAAGGCTACCAAAGGGCTACCGTGTAAGCCATGAGGGAGCCCCGAGGGGGCCGCCATAAGGGAGCCATGAGTGAGCCATGAGGGAGCCATGAGGGAGCCATGAGGGACCCGTGAGGGAGCCATGCAGGAGCCATGGGGGACCCGTGAGGGAGCCATGCAGGAGCCATGAGGGAGTCATGAGGAAGTCATGAGGGACCCGTGAGAGAGTCATGAGGGAGCCATGAGGGAGTCATGAGGGAGCCACGAGGGAGCCATGAGGGTGCCATGAGGGAGCCATGAGGGAGCCATGAGGAAGCCATGAGGGAGCCATGAGGGATCCACGCTGGAGCCATAGGGGAGCCATGAGGGAGCGATGAGGGAGCCATTAGGGAGCCATTAGGGAGCCATTAGGGGGCCATGGGGGGGCCATGAGGGAGCCATGAGGGGGCCATGAGGGAGCCATGAGGGAGCAAGACGGATCCAATGAGGGCGTCATGAGGGAGCCATGAGGGAGTCATGAGGAAGTCATGAGGGACCCGTGAGAGAGTCATGAGGGAGCCATGAGGGAGTCATGAGGGAGCCACGAGGGAGCCATGAGGGTGCCATGAGGGGGCCATGAGGAAGCCATGAGGGAGCCATGAGGGAGCCAATCTGGAGCCACGCTGGAGTCACGCGGGAGTCATGAGGGATCCGTGAGGGAGCCATGAGGGAGCCATGCGGGGGCCATGAGGGAGCCATGAGGGAGCCACGAGGGAGCCATGAGATAGCCATGAGGGAGCCATGAGGGAGCCGTGCGGGAGCCACGAGGGAGCCATGCGGGAGCCATGAGGGAGCCATGAGGGAGCCGTGAGGGAGCCATGAGGGTGCCACATGAGGGAGGCATGATGGACCCATGCGGGGGCCCAGCAGCAGGAGCAGGCGCAGCATGGGGCAGGAGGAGGCAAAGAGGAAGGGATGCGAGGGGCGCGGCTCCTCAAGAAGGCATCGCAAACTGTGATGCCCTTTTGTTCTGCCACGAGCCGTTGCGCCGCCCGTAGCACTTCGGAAAATGTTGCGTTTGGGAGCGGGTGTCCCGTAACATGATGCACCTGTAACGCCACAGTGCCCCCGTAGCTCCCAGCAGCGCCCGTGTGATGCTACGCAGCTTCGGCGTAGCAGTTCGTAGTGCCACGGCGGCGTGAAGCCACGTTTTTGAAGTTTGGCGAGCGTCTCCCCCTTCTGAAAAGCAATGCTCCCAAGTGATGCGAGGCCTACACACTTGCAATGTAATGCTACTTCGGCGTTGCAATTACCACAACAGCCTCTGACAAGTGAATGCCGCCGCCGCGGCTCCCTCCCGGCGGTATCTTGCATTGCTTCGCATCGCCGTTGCCGTCCCGTTGCCGTTTGCGTAGCTGAGCACAGTTGTTTTGTTTCAATGTTTGGTGTTACATTCCTGTGCCTTGCTTCGCATGTCTGTTTTGTTTTGTATTGCATGACATTGCGCTGTAGTGGTTTGCATCTCTGTGGGTTGCGTTGCGTTACCTTCTGCACAGTGTTGCATTGTTTTTAGGTATGTGCCTTGCTCCTCGGTACTTCGTATTGCTTTGCATTGCTTGGCATTGCTTTGCGTTGCTTTGCATTGCTTTGCGTTTGTTTGCGTAAGCCATCATTGCTTTGCACAGGTTGTAGTAACGAGCTGTTTGTATTCCACGCTGGGGTCATGCTGTAAGCAGTGTGGGTGGGTCGCGGATTGTCGCGGGTGGGTCGTGCCGTGGGTGGGTCTTGGTCGGGTCGCGGGTGGGTTTGGCCATCACACTCCTCCGCGAAATGTAAAGCCAGGTTTGCCCGCGCAATGTCGGTGCCCCCAGACCCCCCAGAGTTGGGATGTTGATGCCGAGACACGTAGCTCCATATGTGTTAATCGGCGTCCGCAGACCGCGCCGCGCGCGCCACTGAACATCGAAATGTGTGGCAGTGTGGGCGTTACCAGCAGCTACATCTAATGCCGCCCGGTGTGTCTACTGGTATAACTAACTGCTTCTCCCGGCCACGGCCATCAGCTTGTCACAGCCCTGCAGGAGCACTTGGGCTGCCCTACGCTGCGGTTGTTCGAAGACAGCCTTCATGCTGCCTACGAAACGAAATTCGATGGTGTGCACTGGTGGGGGATGATGATGATGATGATGATGATGATGATGATGCTGATGATGATGCTGATGGTGGTGGTGGTGGTGATGCTGATGCTGATGCTGATGCTGATGATGGTGATGATGATTATGATGATGATTATGATGATGATGACGATGATGATGATGATGATGATGATGATGATGATGATGATGGTACTGATGATGCTGATGATGATGGAGATGATGAAGATGATGACAATGGTGATGACGATGGTGGTGGTGGTGATGATGATTATGATGATGATGATGATGATGATGATGATGATGGTGGTGGTGGTGGTGGTGGTGATGATGATGATGATGATGATTATGATGCTGCTGATGATGGTGGTGGTGATGACGATGATGATGTTGATGCTGTGTTCGCTGCAAATCCTATACCAAGGTACTGGGCAGTGACTTGTGCGATCTCGGCGGGGTCTTCGCACGACCCCCGCTGCACCCTTGCTGTGCTGAGCGGATGCGAGCCCTGAGCCAACACGGGAACGGGGGGCATTGGGGGGGGGGGGGGCGGCAGAGCTCGCTTGCGGCTTCGCGGAGGCAGGCAGTGGGGCGCCTGTGTGTCGGTTCGTGAGTGGACCGCGGCGCGGGCCGGGTGTCGCGGGGTGGGCCGCCGCGCGGGCGGGCCGCGGGCGGCTCTCGAGTGGGCCGCCGCGGGGCGACGACGGCCAGCAGGAGCAGCGGGAGTCCGCACCGCTGCAGGCGCCCAGCTTCCGCCGCGCTTCGCGGGGCAGAGTGGAGGGGCGGCTCCTCGCCCCGCCTCGCTGTGATCGACCTCTCGCCCTCCTTCCACTCCCCTCCCTCCTCCTCCCACTCCCTTCTCCTCCTCCTCCTCCTCCTCCTCCTCCCTCCTCCTTCAACTCCCCACCCTCCTCCTCATCGTCCTCCTCCTCCTCCTCCTCCTCCCCTCCTCCTCTCCGTTTCCTCCTCCTCCTCCTCCTCCTCCTCCTTCCCCTCCCCATCCTGATCCTCCTCCTCCTCCTCCTCCTCCTCCTCCTCCTCCTCCTCCACCTCTTCCTCCTCCTCCTCCTCCTCCTCCTCCTCCTCCTCCTCTTCCTCCTCCTCCTCCTCCTCCTCTCCTCCTCCTCCCCCTCCTCCTCCTCCTCCCCCTCCCCCTCCTCCCCCTCCCCTCCTCCTCCTCCTCCTCCTCCTCCTCCTCCTTTCCTCCTCCTCCTCCTCCTCCTCCTCCCCCTCCTCCTATTGCCCTGTTCAGCAGGCGCATTGGCGGTGCAGGCTCGAATTCCGACTTTCCCCGCCTACGCACCAGACGGCGTATGGTTTCATGCTCGTGCTTGAGCTCCTTCAGTTGCCATTCGCGTTGCCGTGTGGTCTGGCTGGTAAGCTTCAGTGCCGCCCCGAAGCCTGATCCCCAGGGGATCGCAGACGCTCTGAATCGCCTGAAACCTATGAGATTGTATTCCATCCTTGTTCCTTGATCCCCGTGGGCAATCTTTGGCAGTGGCCCCAACATACTTATTATATAATATGTGGTTCGTCCCCCCAGGGGCGACGCGCGCACCGAGACATCTCATAGTATATGCGTCCTGGCGGGCGCTTTCTGGCCAAACCGCTAGGGAAGCGATCCACTGCAAGATGGGTATACTATATGTTCGGGTCGGACGTGCGCCTCCAAGGAGGACATATAGTACTAGTCTGTCTCTGTGCGCCCCAATCTTTGGCAGTGACTTTGTTTCTACCATCGCGCCTCTCGTCCAGTGTGTGCCGAGGCCATGCTGCGGATCCACGAGCGCCTGAAGGTCGCGCCCACGCGCGGGGAACAATCGACCTTGCAGGAGCTGGTACTTCCAGTGCGGGCCTAGGGCTACACATTGTTCGTTTCTAATTCTTCGAGAGTTCTTTGATTTGTTGGGGGGCCAAGATCCTTAGAAACGAGCACGCTTAGAAATGAGCACGATTATAAATGAATGACGTGTAGATGGAGGCTGTAGCAGGACCCATGCCTTCGGCGGACCGAAGCTCCGCGCTTCGCGTCGATGTCGCTAGCTGGGGGCCGACTTCGGGCCCCAGGGCCACCAGGAATGGATCCGGGTCGAAGAGCCGTCCCCAGGGCAAGGGTCGAGAAGTTTTGGGGCCCACTGGGCCGCCAGATGTCTGGGTTCATGGTGGATGTGCTCACCTGTGTCAGCAAGTTGGTATGATACGTTCGTTAGCAGGGTCCCAGGGGTTGCGCCTCTAGTTCGTTCTAATTGGCGCAATGCACTCATGGTCGGCTCAACCTTGATTCGAGACAGGAACTGAGGCAGACCATGATCCGATGCGAACCAGAAGCCGTTGAGTATCTTCGGGCGCACTTTCTTATGAGTGGATATTGTCAACTCCTCCATAGTAGCATTCGTGTGTAGCGCAGTCGGATGAAAGCGGAGGCCGGGCTGGTGCCACGCCGAGCTTACCCTTTCCATTCGCGCATCCCGCCAGGCAATCTTGCATCATAGTTGGCACATGCTCGTGTGCGCGCGGGGATTGGGACGTTGTTGGGCGCGTGGTAGCTTCCCCGAGCTGTCGCGTGAGGATCGCGTGAGGGGAAGCAGCTCCGGGGTAGATGTAAATAGCCGTGTTTTCTCGATTTCCGACGTGGTTTCGACGCGGATTCGACGAGGATTCGACATGGATTCGACACGGATTCGATTCGTTCGACACGGATTTGACACAGATTCGACGTGGATCGCGTCGCGACGTAACAGACATGGTTCCCCGAAGATGCAGCACAAGGAGCTCTTATGGGCGTCTGTGGGTCTTCTGTCCGACTCTCCCCCCCCCCTCTTCGCCTGTCCTCCCTTCGCTCTTCCCGTCTCCTTTCTGCGCCCCGCTTTGCTCCGTTGCGTCCCACCGCTGCCACGTTGGCGTCCCGCCGCCGACCGAGAGGTGGGGGGCCTCTGCGGGGGCGCCTCTCGGGGGCTTCCTGGCGGGGGCCTCCGAGGGGGGTACGCCCGGCCGTGTCTCGGGGCCAGCTCGGGCCGCGCGGGCAGCATCTTAGGGGCGCCCTGCGGCAAGACGTGGGCCGCCTGGCGGCCGGACGCCGATGGGCCCGCGCTCTTGGGGCCGCTCCTGGGCCTCGGCGACGCCACGCTGGCCCCCAGAGCATTCCTGAAGGAGTCGGGAGGATTCCCCAAAAACGCATCCCTCAGGGATTCCTGCGGTAATCCCTTCTGGATCCCCGGAGAATTCTCTCGAGGGATGCTTGAAGGATTCCTGAAGGATTGTGGAGGGATTCCTGAGGGAGTCCTGGCGGAATCCAGAGGAATTCTTGTGGGATTCTGAGAGACCCCCGAGGAGGAAGGAGGCCCTCCCAGGGCAGCCTGCGATCCGATTCGATGCGCGTCGGTTCGCAGACTGGGGCCTCGATCATGATCGCGATCCGAGGCGGCCCGATGTACCGCAGTTGGCTGGGGTCGGCCGGACCCAGGCGCGGCGAGCCGAGTTCGGCACGGTTCGTCGGGCTTTGGGGGAGTGCCCAGCCAGACGAGTCGTGTAGGGGAACCTGCGTCTGTTCACTCGACGTTGGTGTTCGACTGTGCGGATGCAGTCCCCATCTGGTTTCACCAACGTGCGTTTGGCCAGATACATTGACTTGTTTTGGGACGCCGACCAGTTACCCCGCTGGGGTCCGCTCGGAAAGTGTTGCCGTCCTGGTAGCTTTCACGACATGGCGTCTTTTTTTTCCCCCCCTGAAGGCCGAAGGCAAAAGGGCGTCCTGTCGTTTTTCGAACTCGGGACGATCCGCTGGCGATGCGATCCCTTTCTGTCCCGATCCTCGTTCGCGCTTCGATCCCGCGCAGGCTCCAGGCCATCGAGGAGGTTGGCCCTCCTCCTCCGCCCCAGGAAGCGTAGGGCAAGAAACGACGCAGGGGGTGGGAGGGGGAGGAGGAGGAGGAGGAGGAGGAGGAGGAGGAGGAGGAGGAGGAGGAGGAGGAGCAGAAGGAGGAGGAGGAGGAGGAGGAGGAGAAGGAGGAGGAGGAGGTAAGGAGGAGGAGGAGAGGACGAGGGAACGGGAGGAGGAGGACAAGGAGGAGGAGGAGGAGGAGGAGGAGGAGGAGGAGGAAGAGGAGAAGGACGAGGAGGAACAGGAGGAGGAGGAAGCGGAGGAGGAGGAGGAGGAGGAGGAGGAGGGGGAGGGGGATGGGGACGGAGCGGGAGAGGAGGACAAGCTGAGTGCGCTCGCGTCATATCTGACGTCCTACCCCGCTCCATCCCTTACCATGGCGTAGATCTCCTCTCTATTCGCACATTCGGATGTCTTAGAATGGCATAACATTACATGGCATAGCATGGTGTCGAATATCAACGCGTAGCATGACATAGCATGGCGTGGTGACGCCCCACAGTTGGGGGCTTCTGCGATCCAAACAATCAACGAGTCGGCACCGAATGTGCATGTAATCACTTCCGATGGTTTTTTTTCGGGGTGGCATGTTCTAGATTTTGGGGTTATTTGGAAGGAGCGAAAACCATGTCGTGGCATGGCACTCGAAACAATGACGCCAGCGCTGCAGCGGGAGCACGAGTCGGAACGAGCGGAAGCGCGGCAATGAGGCCAGCGCTGCAGCGGGAACATGATTCGGAACGAGCGGTAGCCCGAAAATGAGGCCAGCGCTTCAGCGAGAGCAGCATTTTGAAACATATCTCATCGCGGAAGCGCGGAACTCAGGACGCGTAGCCTGACGTAGCATGGCGTGGCGACGTCCCAAAGTGGGGTGAGGGCTTCCGCGGCCCAACAATCAACGAATCGGCACCGCAAGTGTAACCACTTCCGACGGTTTTTTTCAGGGTGACATTCCTAGATTTTCGGGGTTATTTGGAAGGCGCGAACACCATGTCGTGGCATGGCACTCGAAACAATGACGCCAGCGCTGCAGCGGGAGCACGAGTCGGAACGAGCGGAAGCGCGGCAATGAGGCCAGCGCTGCAGCGGGAACATGATTCGGAACGAGCGGTAGCCCGAAAATGAGGCCAGCGCTTCAGCGAGAGCAGCATTTTGAAACATATCTCAGCGCGGAAGCGCGGACATGAGGACGCGTAGCATGACATAGCATGGCGTGACGACGTCCCAAAGTGAGGTGGGGGCTTCCGCGGCCCAAACATCAACGAATCGGCACCGCATGTGGAATCACTTCCGATGGGTTTTTCGGGGTGGCATTTTTTAGATTTTGGGGTTATTTGGAAGGCGCGAAAACCATGTCGTGGCATGGCACTCGAAACAATGACGCCAGCGCTGCAGCGGGAGCACGACTCGGAACGAGCGGACGCGCGGAAACGAGGCCAGCGCTGCCATATGCGGAGGAGGGCGGACATCCCCCGCAGGCCACCAGGGAAGAGAGGAGAGTCGTATTCATATTGTGTAATTGTGGAGGAGGAGGAGAAGGATGATGAGGAGGAGGAGGATGAGGGCAGGAAGAGGAGGCGGAGGAGGAGGCGGAGGAATAATAATAACATAGTAATAACACTAATAATAAAACTAATGATGCAAAGAAGAATACTAAGTATTGAGAGTAATAAGAAGAAAACTAAGAAGAAATATCAAAAACATAATAATAAGGAGGATGAGGAGGAGGGAGGGAGGGAGGGATGGAGCGAGCGGGAGGAGGGACACAAACGGAGGAGCAGGAGTGAGTGAGGGAGGGAGGGAGAAATTTGGAGGAGGTGGGATGGGTTGATGGAGGGAGGGAGGGATGGAGGGCGAGAGTGAGAGAGTAGTTCGGGGAGGAGGAGGAGGAGGAGAAGGAGGAGGAGGAGGAGTAGGATGAGGAGGAGGGGGAGGAGGAGGAGAAGGTAGGGAAGGAGAAGGAGGAGGAGGAGGAGGAGGAAGAGCTGGAAGAGGCCCTCCCCCTCCCTCCTCCTCCCCCCCCTCCACCTCAATCCTCGATCTCACTGAATCTTCGACTCATCTTTTCCTCCTCCCCCCCCTCCTCCCCTCCGCCCTCCCCCTCGCACCTCCTCCACGACTCTCGAGTGCCACCAACCAGTGATTCGCCCGTGGCCTCGAGCCTGGACATACACTGCGCCACATCATGGATTGCCCCTGTTTCGCAGCTGCCGCCCATGTCCGACATGTCCTGCCTCATACTTCTCGGCCTTGGTGACCTCGAGCACATGACGTGCACGAGTACCCTCGGCATTGACTGCCGGAGGGCCCGTATCCAGCAATCATCTCAGATGCGGACGGCCTCCTCCGCGTGCTCGGCCCAGTGCAGCGTGGGCCCGCCCTTTTCGAGGCTGGGCCGCCCAGGGTGTACGCCGCCCTCCGAGGCCGACAGAGCCCGGGGGGTTTGCCGCCCGAGGCGGTGTGAACTGGGCCGGGTCGGCCAGCTTCCGCCTTCCCCGCTGCGAGCTCGCACCTCCTCGATCCTCGCTTCGATCCTCGGCCCTCCTCCTCCTCCTCTCCCTTCTCCTCTCCCTTCTTCCTCTGACACGCTGCTGCCGCACGGCCTCACCTTCCTGGCGGTGCAGGCGCGCGGGGGCGCTCAGGAGCAGGAGATTTGTCCTCGTCTCGCTTGCTTGTCCGCTTGCCCTCTTCTCGTCTCTTTTAGTGGGTTCAGCTCCGTTCCTTTTCCTTGAAGAATTTGCTTCCTGCCGCACCCCGATGCCAGTTTTTAGGGCGGACCGGGCGTTTCGCCCGATACTTCCTCACCTCTTACGACACTGAAGCTTCAGCATTGGCAACATATTCGCAGATGGAGGGCGGGTCGTTTTCAAATTGTTTCTCTCGCCTCTGCGCCGCGCACATTCGTTTTAAACAATTACAAGAGTTTCACGGATTGAAGGCAGTACGTTTTCAATATGTTGATCTCGCCTTATCGCCGCGCACATTTTTTCAACAAGTTGCAAGAGTTTCACGGATTGAGTGTGGCCCATTTTCAAAGTGTGGTTCTCGCTCTAGCGCGGTGCACATTCGTTTTAGAACTTTGCCAAAGCTTCACGGATTGAAGGCGACTCTTTTATAAAATGTGGTTCCCGCCTTAGCGCCTTGCGCATTCGTTTTTCAATTCTGCAAGAGTTCCACGGATCCCCGTGGTCAGCGTACCAGACATGATCTTTTTTGACGGGGGCGCAGCAGTCACGTTGATTCGCGGTGTTGAATTCCCAGGAATGGCGCTCTGGCACGATTCAGGATCGTCAAGACGCACCAGTCAGGTTGATCCGTGGCGTTGGAATCCCGAGAACAATGTTTTGCCATGCTTCAGGGTCTTCAAACGGTTGCCTTCCAACGAGGCAGTTCCTCAGTGGGAATGAACCGTTGTAGGGGCATCTGAAGAGGGAGAGCTTGGAGGGAGGGTTTATTCCACCAGCGTTGATCACTCTTGGGTTTGCACTGGTCCTCCTCCACCTCCTCCTCCTCCTCCTCCTCCTCCTCCTCCTCCTCCTCCCCCTCCTCCTCTTCCTCCCCCTCCTCCTCCTCCTCCTCTCCTCCTCCTCCTCCTCCTCCTCCTCTCCTCCTCCTCCTCCTCCTCCCCCATCCCCGCTCCTCCTTCACCCCCCCCCCCCCCTCCTCCTCTTCCTCCCTCCCCCTCCTCCTCCTCCTTCCTCCCTCCTCCTCCTCACTCCCTCCTCCCCTCCTCCTCCTCCTCCTCCTCCTCCTCCTCTCCTCCTCCTCCTTCCTCCTCCCCCTCCTCTCCTTCCTCCTCCTCCCTTCCTCCTGCCCCTCCTCCTCCTCCTCCCCCCTCCTCCTCCTCCTCGATCCTCGGCCCGCCGCGATCCTCCGCCTCGCCCCCAAGAGGTCGCGCAGGTCAACTTCCGCCGCCAGCCCCTGAACGCCACCCCCGAGGCGGCCGCGCTGTGCAGCAGGCTGCTGGCCTTCGACCCCGCGGCGCGCCCGTCGGCCGAGGAGGCGCGGGGGCCCCCGCCCGCGGGCACGCCGGGCGGGTGGGTCTCCCCCTTCTCCTCCTCCCCCTCCTCCTCACTCTCCCTCCTCCTCCTCCTCCTCCTCCTCCTCCTCCTCCTCCTCCTCCTCCTCCTCCTCCTCCTCCTCCTCCTCCTTCCTCCTCCCTCCTCCTCCTCCTCCTCCCTCCTCCTCCTCCTCCTCCTCCCCTCCTCCTCCCTCCCCTCCCCCTCCTCCTCCTCCTCCCCCTCCTCCTCCTCCCCTCCTCCTACCTCCCCCTCCCTCTGGGTACGCTGGGCTCCTCCTCCCCCCATCCCCTCCTCCTCCTCCTCCCGCTGCCCCCTCCTCCGCCTCCTCCTCCTCCCTGCGGGTCGGTCCGGGAGCCTGTCGGTCGGGGGCAACGGTAGGGGGGGGGGGGATGGGCATTAGGGGGGGATGGGCACTAGTAGGGGATGGGCATTAGTAGGGGATGGGCACTAGGGGGGATGGGCATTAGGGGGGTATGGCCACTAGGGGGGGATGGGCATTAGGGGGGGATGGGCATTAGGGGGGGATGGGCATTAGGGGGGGATGGGCATTAGGGGGGATGGGCATTAGGGGGATGGGCATGAGGGGGGGGCGGGCACTGAGTCGGGGACAACGATAGGGGGGGATGGGCACAGGCGGGGATGCAGCGACCCCCAATCGCCCATAGATCGCCGAGAGGGGCCCGATCGCCCCAGCCTGCCCAGGAAGGTGCGGATTCGCTATCGGAGGCCTGTCCGTCGGTCTATCGGCGATGTATCGGCGATTCTAGGTCGATGCATCCCCCCCTGTGCCAGTCCCCCCCCCCCCATATCGTTGCCCCTGATTGAGACGGGGATCAATACAGACGTGGGTCAGCCAGGGCACTGGATTTTGCAGGGTCCTGCGAAGACCCCCTCCGGCTGACCCAGGTTAGCGAGCCGCTCGTGGCCGCGAGGCGGCCGCGCATGCTGGCTGACCCAGGTTTGCGAAGACCCTCGTTGCAGTTTTTTTGTTTCTGCATTGCAGTTTTTGGTTTCCTGCTGACCCGGGTCTGGATTGACCCGGGTCAGAAGATCCCCGAGTCGGGTCGGTCTCGAGACGATCGACATGGTCTAGGCCTCCGAGATGGGGTCGGGATAGGTGGGGTCGGAGGATCGCGCCGCATCGCCGATGCGTCGGCGATGCATCAGCACTGCGGCTCGATGTGGAGCCCGACTTTCTCCGCACCGACGTCGCCAATGTATCGCCGACGTCGACTACGACAGGGGTCCCCCAAATTCAAAGACCTCCTGACGTTCCACGTATCCAGGGGTGCCGATGATCCATGTCTTAAGCGAGGCTCCCAGGCGAATGCGGGTGATGCCCGTATTTGGGCTACTCGCCTTCGCCGTCGCCGCCGGGAATTGGTCGACCAGACGTTGACGCCAGAGTGACCTCGGGTGCGGGCCCGATGGGACCCTTTGATTGTTGAGCGCGAAGCGGTAGCAGCGTCTTGCGCGCCCAGGGTTGGCCACCCCGCACTCCCCGTTAAGCCGCGCACTACAGGTCACTCTTCAGCCTAAGGTCACTCTTGCGTGTTGCCGACTCGGAGGGTCGTCCACGGCGCCTAAACACCCCGATCCGCGGATCGGGCTTGGATCTTGGTCCTCCAGGTCGGATGCTCCGGATCCGGATCAGGGCCGATCCCTCCGTGTCCTTGGGGTCGGATTTGCCGGATCTTGATTTGGATCGGATCCTCCGGATCTTCCGGGCCAGGGCCCTGGATCGATTCTGGATCGCGCGGCCGATCCGGATCCCGTTCAGGGTGTTCGGGACCAAGCCCATTCCTCACGCAGTTTTTTTGGCCACGCGGCCCTCAGAAACTCTCGGCGCCCCTCCGGTGTTCTCGGCGGCGCACGCAGACGAAGACCGGGACCGATGACGGCCAGCCGCCTCTTCGCCTTTTTCCGCTTCGCGTGGAGGGGTGGAGGAGCAGGAGGAGCAGGAGGAGGAGGAGGAGGAGGAAGAGGAGGAATAGGATGAGGAAGATTAAGAAGATGATTGTTCTGATTAGTAATGATAACGATGTTAACAAGTTTGAAAGTCCCAAGCATCATATCCATAATATAACTACGACTAATAGTAAGGATACTGATCGTACTAATACGAATAATGGGACCAATGCGAAGAGTAATAATATATCAGTGCTAACACATGATTAGTAACACTACTATCTTAATGTGACGAAGACGATCAACAGTACTACTCATATTAATATTACTCATGCTAGTCGTACTACGACTACTAATCGTACTTATTATGAGATCCAGAAGCATAAGGAGAAAAGTAATAATACACAAAACAATGATACTATCAATACTAACGATAGTGATCAGAAGAAGAAGAAGAGGGTACCACGAACAGTACCTTCGCAGCACCGCTCCGCCAGGCCTGCATCAAGGCCACCTTGCTTCCACTCATCCCCCCTCTCCATACCGTTCGTCGCATGGCCGCCCCCTCCCGTTGCGTCATTGGCCGCCCCCTCCCGTTGCGTCATTGCCCCCCCCCCCCCCCCCGCCCTCCCAGGGGAGGCTGTGGACCGGGCTCCTCCGCCCCCCTGAGGGTCCTCCTCGTCCTCCGCGGTTTCTTGCTATTTTTTTTTAAGGCCAAACTGATGTGCTTACCCCCCCCCAGTGGCGACCGCCCCAGCGGGGGGAAGCCAGCAGCGGCACGGACACGGGCGGAGCAGGAGGAGGGGGAGGAGGAGAGGGGAGGACGGGGAGGCTAACGCGCTCCTCCTCCTCCTCCTCCTCCTCCTCCTCCTCCTCCTCCGGTCCTTCTCGGGTGGAGGAGGAGGAAGAGGAGGAGGACGGAGGAGGAGGAGGAGGAGGAGGAGGAGGAGGAGGAGGAGGAGGAGGTGGAGGTGGAGAAGGAGGAGGACGGAGGGAGAGGGAGAACAAGGAGGATGATGGCCACGACGGTTCCGCCTCCGTCGTTACGGTCCTTCGACGCCTTTGAGATCTCTCGTGAACTCTAGGAGGGCTGATGAGGAGGATAAACAAGAGGGACATATGAATGAGGAGCAGAAACAGGGGGAAGGAGCATGCGGTAAAGAATGAGGATGATGAAAATGAGTAGGGGAAGGGTGAAGCGGAGAACCAGCGACGGAGGGACCAGGACGAGGGATGTTGATGAGGAGAGGGAGTTGGCGGCGGAGAGGAGAATGGAGAACAGTGAGGTGGAACATGATAATGAGGGCTTGGAGGCGTCAGGAGGAACATGAGAGCAGGAGGAGGAGCAGATGCAAAAGGAGGGACAACTCCTAGGAGGAGCGGACGGAGGAAGATGTACAAGACGAGCTGGGGGAGAAGGAGGAGGATGAGTAGGAGGAGGATCATGAAGAGAAGGAGGGGGAGAAGGAGGAGGAGGAGGAGGAGGAGGAGGAGGAGGAGGAGGAGGAGGAGGAGGAGGATGAGGAGGAGGATGAGGAGGAGGAAGAGAGGGTGGAGGACCAGGAGCCACCAAAGAGTCACGCTCGCAACCGGAACCGGCGCAGCACCCGACGGCTGCGCGCGCGGGCGCCCCTGCCGCGGCGGGCGCCGCCCCTACCCCGCCGATGCGCCCCCAGGCGCTGCGCCACCCGTGGTTCTCGCTGCCGGAGGAGGCGCTGCAGCAGGGCAGGCCCGCCGCGAGGCGTTGACGCGGCCCCGGCGACAGGCGAGGCCCTGGCCCAGGCCTCCATCGCAGCGCCCTGCGGCCGTCGGGGCCCCTCGGGCGGCCCGCGGCATCCCGTCGGGGGGCGACGGCCGGTGCGGTGGGGGAGAGGTGCACTCTTGGTGCACCGCAGCAGAGAGGGGCCCCCCTGGGGCCCCAACGTGGCCATCCGGGTCCCAGCACGGGGCGCCAAAAGGTGCACGTCTTTTGGGGGCCCCCCCCCCCCCCCCCCTTCCCCTCCCTCCCTCTACAAATTACTCAATATGAATACTACTCTCCCTCTTCCCCTGATGGCGTGCTGGGAATATTCGACCCCCCCCCGCGTACTGTTTTTTTTACACACAGGATTCCCGGGAGTTGGGTTTTCGCCTGCGTTTTTTTCAAAATGCTGCTCTCGCTGAGGCGCCGGCCTCATTTCTGCTCCCGAATCGTTCCGAATCGTGCTCCCGCTGCAGCGTGGGCCTCATTTTCGGATCGGTGTTTGCCTCCGTCGTTCAGGATGGCGTTCTCGCCCCAGCGCGGGCCTCTTTCTCGCGCGCCCATCCGCCCGCCACCACCGCGCCGCACCACCGCGCCGCACCACGCCCCGCCCCGCCGCACGCACACCCACCGCCACTTCCACCCACCAACGCACGCACGCACGCACGCGCACCACCACCGCGCACCGCCACCACCACCGCACTACCCCACCCACCACCACCACGCTACACCGCGTCAAACCACATCACACGCGCGCACACACAGACACACACGCACGCACGCACGCACGCACGCACGCACGCACGCACGCACGCACGCACACACACACACACACACACACA